TTTGTTGAGGTTTGTGGAATGCCTGTATTATGTTATTCTATAGAAGTTTTTCACAGGTCTGCTTTTTTATTATTGTTTTTATTTTATATATATATATATATATATATATATATATATATATATATATATATATATATATATATATATATATATATATATATATATATATATAACGTATATTATATATATATATATATATATATATATATATATATATATATATATATATATATATATATATTGTATATTTTGCGTAATGTTTTTTGTATAATAATGTACAAAAAAACTCTTGTTCGTTTAAAAGTGATCAATATTATAAAAACAAAGATTTTTATAATAGATCTAATATAATTATTTAGTATTAAAATAAAAAAAATACAACTTTTTGTTAATACTCAGAGTTTCATGCCTGGCGGCAATCATCAGCCATATATATTTTTTTAATTCAAGAAATTAAAAAACTGTTTAAAATACAAATTAGGCAATGCAATGGGATCTGACGTCAAAACATTGACTAGACGAAGTCTACCTTTAGCCTGTGTCAAATTGACAAAGGAGGAATTTATTTCTATGCCGACATTTTGATATAATTTCAGTCTTTTTATTTAATAAACTATTGTCATTATTTGAAAAAATTTCATATTTTTTATTAAGGCATAATTTGCACGATTTTGTTGTCAGGTTATATGCTTCAAATCTTCTAATTATTTTCCAATTGATCACAGGATTTTTATCATTATCTTTTAAGTTCCAAACCTCCTTTGACAGCTCTGTATTATTTCTATACTTAGGGATATTAAACGATTTTAAATGGTTACTATATCTCAGTTTGAAAGATGTTTCACAAATACCAATGTATGATTTTTATATTGAAGGGTTATTGCAAAGTGATGGTTGCTTGGTATACAATGTTGTTGGTCAAGCAGTTATTGTGTAAAGGACAATTGTATTTATTAAGGCAGTTGCAGTTATCTTTATTAATGGTTAGATTTTTGTTTAGGATGTGCTTGTTGTGTAAATTTATTATTGATTTTATGTTTGGCATGCAACTGTAGCTGATTTTTACTGTGTTTTTGTTGAAATTTTGTGTAGTCTGTTGTTAATTGGAAAATGTTTGACAATCAAGTTTAAAAAACTTTTTCCTATATTTGTGGTGATATTTATGCTATAGGGTGGGTTGTACCAGATTATTTTACGCGTGTGGTTTTTTTTGTTGTTGTTGTTTCAAGTTAGGTCGGTAAGATAAATTATGTTTATAACCAGAGTTTCGTAGTGCTTCATTATAAATAGATACAGATTTTTTAAACATCTCTTCGCTGCTAGAATTTCCAGACAATCTGAGTTCAACATTTTGCGGTAGTTGTTTTAGTATATTAGGAGGGTGATTAGATTGAGCATGTATGTAGTTTAAAGTATTATCAGGTTTGCAGTATGGTTGGTATGACTGGTCGCAAAGGTTAAGAGTTACATCGAGGTAATTCACAATTTTGAGGTTGCACTGTATAGATATTTTGAGATTTAGTTTTTCACTAATTGAAGGGTAGAAATTGTTGATATTCAAAGATGAGGAATTTAAAAGGTGTTTATCTTTTATATTTTTAAACCAATTGATAACATCTTGAGTGCTTTTCCACTGATTAAGATGTAAAGTATTTTTTAATTCAGAGTTTAATTTTGAGAGAATGTCTTTACTAATTCTACAAATTTCATTTTTTGCCGGATTTATTAATATAACTGTTGGATTGTTTGCAAAATTAGTTTTATGGTCTTTAACGTTATGAAGCAGTTAGAAGATGTGTTAATGTCAATTTTGTTAAAAATAGCATGATTCTTCAAAATTTTTTTACATTCTTTGTTTATTTTATCTTTTATTTTTAAGTTATCTAGTTTGTAGGTAGAAGTAATGGCGTTTGTCATCAAGTGGTTATAACTGTCTTTTGATAAATTATACAGATTAGAAGTTTTATCAGCATAGGTATAAGTTAATTTAGATTTGCGGATGTTTGAAATATCGCTTTTTAGTGTACTTTGAAAACTGTTGGTTACTTTGCGGAACTTGATGTTTTTTATTAGCTCTAATAAATCGTTTTCAAAAGCTAACATTTCGTTGATTTGCTTTGGACAGTACGGTGTTTTTAACCTATAAGAACTATATTTAAAATCGTACTTACTTTGCGAACTACTGTTTAGATAGAAAGAAGAGTATAAATATATATATATATATATATATATATATATATATATATATATATATATATATATATATATATATATATATATATATATATATATATATATATATATATATATATATATATATATACTCTTGCATGGTAGTCAGAAAGAGTTTCCCATAAACTGTAGTTTTAAAGAGCGCATTAATAAACCAGACCAGAAAAAGTTTAAAAACTTAAATTTTTTTTTTTTTTAAATGATAGACTGCCTGCCCAAACCAAACCCTCAGTCGATGTAGCAGCACTCCCTTGCAAGTCAAGCTATTTGTCAGTCGTTGTAGCAGCACTCCCTTGCGAGTCAGGCTATTTGTCAGTCGATGTAGCAGCACTCCGTTGCGAGTCATGCTATTTGTCAGTTGATGTAGAAACACTCCCTTGTAGCAGCAGGCTATAAGATAGTCGATGTAGCAACATTTACGCATGTTTTAAAAATGTTTTTTAATAAAACAAAAACAAAAACACCACTAATTAAAAAAAAATTTCTAGTCGTTATTATTGCGGTTTTTAAAAAAAATTTTTAAAAAACAATAAAGTTTAATGTACTTCTGCATTAATTTAATTGCTTTGACATTTCGATGACAATCAAAAACAGCTTAAGAGAGGAGGTAATTAAAATTGTAGTCGAAAGAGATTTTTTTTACATTAAAAGACTCTTTCGACTACACTATAAGGATATATATATATATGTATATATATATATATATATATATATATATATATATATATATATATATATATATATATATATATATAAGTGTATTCCACTTTAAATTGGAGAGCATTGATGTTTTTGAATCACTAATGCTTCACTAACTTTCCTATCAAATTTATTTTATTCTTCTTTAAGTGTTTTAACTTTATCCCAATTAATTTCTTCTCTACAGCCTTTTTTATTACTACTACTGTTGTCCGATAGCCATATAGGTATATATATATATATATATATATATATATATATATATATATATATATATATATATATATATATATATATATATAAAATTTCTAGTCGTTATTATTGCAGTTTTTTAAAAAAATTTTTAAAAAACAATAAAGTTTAATGTACTTCTGCATTAATTTAATTGCTTTGACATTTCGACGACAATCAAAAACAGCTTAAGAGACGAGGTAATTAAAATTGTAGTCGAAAGAGATTTTTTTTACATTAAAAGACTCTTTCGACTACACTATAAGGATATAAATATATATATATGTATATATATATATATATATGTATATATATATATATATATATATATATATATATATATATATATATATATATATATATATATATATATATATATATATATATATATATATATATATAAGTGTATTCCACTATAAATTAGAGAGCATTGATGTTTTTGAATCACTAATGCTTCACTAACTTTCCTATCAAATTTATTTTATTCTTCTTTAAGTGTTTTAACTTTATCCCAATTAATTTCTTCTCTACAGCCTTTTTTATTACTACTACTGTTGTCCGATAGCCATATAGGTATATATATATATATATATATATATATATATATATATATATATATATATATATATATATATATATATATATATATATATATAGGGCATTTCCAAAAAATCACGCACGAAAACTCGTATATGCTTTTACTTTTATTTTCATAAAAATAAAACTAGTGATCTCCAATTTACTCTCATTTAATTCTAATCAATATAAATATTTTGTAAACAAAAAATAGTAAGAATTAGTAATGTTAACACAGAATAAATAAAGTTTGAAATGGAATCACGCACGGAACAGAAAAACTTCTGTTTTAGTTACTAGATAAATAAACTTTAATTCCTCGGACAATATAAGTTTCACCGGTATACTTTTTTTTTTAATAATATTTTAAAGATTAGTAAAGATTTCCAGAAAGTTACAGGATTGCACTATGAATCATAGAGTCACAGCAATCATTTAAATGCCGTTTATGAATGATCACGCACGGAAGTCACGCACGGATGTTGCAAATTTGTCAATTTCATGTAGTTATTTTTATGAAAAAAAATTGCTAGTGAGTATTTCAAGTAAAATATTATACTTCTGCGACTCATATTTAATATATTTTCGATGAGAAACGGCAGTCATCAATTATTTCTAGCTAGAGTATGGCGTTTTGAAAATTATTGTATATTTTTCAAAATGTAGCGATATTATTACTCAAAAAAATAAAATTGTAAAAATGTGTATATTTAATTTATTCAGATAGCCTAAAATATGATAAAAATACTTTAGTTATAATTGTTCTTTAAGAAAATCAAAATAGTATGTATATTGTATATCAAATAGTATGCATATCAAATAGTATGCATATCAAAATAGTATGCATATCAAATAAATAGTATGCATATCAAATAAATAGTATGCATATCAAGTAAATAGTATGCATATCAAGTAAATAGTATGCATATCAAGTAAAACAGTATGCATATCAAGTATGTATATCAAATAGTATGCATAGTATGTATATTGTATATCAAAATAGTATGCATAAAGTCCCAGCTTTTAATTGCTAAAACAAAGAAAAATAAAAAATCACGCACAGAAATGGAAATGCCCTATATATATATATTTATATAGTCTTGGCCAAAATGGATGGAACACTAGCAAAAAAATGCACTTTTTGTGTTTTTATATGTTTGTTTTAATCACATAGCATGAGTTCAAAAACAAAAAAGAACAAGAAAGAGTCAATTACTACTTATTTACAATACTTTGTATGTTTTCCATTTTTTAGCACAGCAGCTATTCTGTGCGGCATTGATAAACACAGCTTTTCAAAGTAACTCACAATAACTTC